CCGCCTTCGGGCGGGGGGGGGGGGGGGGGGGGGGGGGGGGGGGGGGGGGGGGGGGGGGGAATCACTGCAGGGAGCCGTGAGTGACAGTCACGGCTCTCTGCAGGGAAAGGATCGAGAAGTGAGCGAGCGACGATATGTGTTCGCTCACTTCCCGATCTATTGATATTGAGCCGACCTGTGACAGTTTCATTGTCACACGTCGGCTCCAACTATGAGGATGATCGATTTTTGTCGGCTCTCAGTTTCCTCTGACACGCCGATAAGCGTGTGGCAGTACCTTCCCACTGTATAACCTGCACACTGATCTTCTCACCGCCAATAAACCCACCTCCTGTCCAGGCTATTTTTCAGTGCCGAAACAGTTTGACTGAGAATTACGTCACGCTGTAACCAAATTAATTACATATTTTTTTAGACAGAAGATTCTTTTATAGTGGTACTTAATAAATGTTTTTTTTTTTTTTTAACTATATAAAAGAAGTGCTGTGGGAGCCTCAGCATCAGAATCTCTTGTGTAGTCCTTGAGACTATAGAGGTGCCATTAACACTCTCCTAAAGTGGATGCTGGGTGGGATGGAATGGAATGGGTCTGAGGCCACGTTTACATCAGGGCGTTTTGTCGCGCATTTTTTACCCACACTGAACTACATGCAATTCAGAATCCCATGTATTCCTACGAGGGCCGTTCATGCGAACGCACTGAATTGCGCATAAAAATACGCCCATTGTTTAAAATAGTCCTTGAGCTTCTTTTGTGGCGCTTATCAGCTCGTTTTGCTCCATAGACTTCAATGGAAAGTACATTTTTGCACTTTGAGCTTTTTTTAGCGTGTTTTTGCAGCTGAGACTGCTTTTCATTAGAGAACTGAAAACTAGCTGAAAACATGCCTTAAAACACTCTTACATATGAACAGAAAACTCCTGTAAAACGCGCTGAAACACCCATAAAAAATGTGCTAAAAGAAGCATGATAATAAAGCGCTGAAAAGCTGTCGCCCTGATGTGAACGCGGTCTCGGTTACCGTCCAATCTAACTCATTCATATGTATACCACCCAGTCATGTCTACCTGCTCAAGGCTTGCCTTCCTGAGAGCTGCCAGGACACACAGCAGCAATAAAAAGCAATGGCCAGGACTGCCGACCGTGAGTCCAGTGAGATGTATACAGCGCTGCAGAGACACATTATACAGTATATTGCAGTGGGGAGGAAATACTTGAGTTGAGCTTAACCCTTGCAGTGTGGGGGTATTCCCACTGCAAGGGTTAAGTGCTTGTTTTGTCTAGGGAGCTAAAATTACCGAGATATACTCACCTGAACTCCGATACTGGCTGGCTACTAGATCGGTCTCTTCAGCCTCGCTCTCCCCTTCCGTGATGGAATGTCCCTCGGCATCCTCATGTCCTATACACTGTCTGTATAGAATGTGATGGCTCACAGGACCTTAGATTACTGGAGCGGAAGGGGAACGAGGCTGAGGAGACCAGTCTAGGAGCCAGCTGGGGTCGTGGTTCCAGTGAGTAGAACTTTATTTTAGCTCCCTGGATAAAACGAGCGCCTAACCCTTGCAGTACAGGAGTAGCCCCACTGCAAGCGTTAAGATTTATTTTGCCCAAGGTTCTTCTTTAAACTCACTAAAAAGCCTGCTAGCAGCTTGTTTAAAGTGACAGCCAGCACTTCCATTATCACCTGTGTGTACATATTCAAACTGGAGCTGAAGAGTGCTTCAAAAGCTTCCACAAAGATGCTTGAAGCTCACTGTAAGCTGTAACAATGCTTGGTGAAAGCTTCTGTTAGTGGTAAATCCTTCAACCAAGGTCTCTTATGCTGGGCACACACCTTACAACCATCGCAAGACAAAAGTCTTGCGATGGTTGTAAGGTAATTTAAAAAAACGTACGATCTGCCCATCTTGGACAGGCAGATCGTACTTGCGATGATCGCAAGTACGAGGGGCAGGCTTCCGATGACCGCAATGCTGAACGGGCAGTGTGCGCTTGCGCACACCCGCCTGTGCGGCTTTTATCTTGCGAACATGCCCCACACCCGCCGACAATCCTACAATTCTCGGCGGGTTTTCGAACATGTTCATAAGATAAAAGTCGTGCAACCTTACAGTAGCAGAGGTCACACGCCTTCCACACACCTCGCGATAATCGTACGATCGCGGGATTATTGCAAGGTGTGTGGGCACCTTTACAATGAAGTTCCCTCTGAGAATTGTGAAAAAACAATGACACCAAAAAGGTGAAAGAAGAAGAAGATCAAGACACTGTCAGTCGTGTTGGGTGACCTAAGCTACTCATGCTTAACATGGAGACATTTTCCTGGGAACTAAGCTCTCTGCCATCTGGAGATCATGGACACAAGAAGAAAGACATTAAATAAAAGTTTACCACAAATACTACATTCACTGGGGGGAGGGGGGATGATCAAAACTGGAGCAGACAGATCTGGAGCAGTTGCCCATGGCAACCTGTCGGCTTCTCTCTTCAGTTTGTTCAGTTAAGATTTGAAAAGAGAAGCTGATTGGTTGCCATGCACCGCTGCTCCAGTTTTGAAAAATACCAAAACTGGAACAGACAGAATCTGGAGCAGTTGATCATTGCAACCAATCAGCTTCCATGCACGGATCCCCTCCTGATCAGAATGGATGTCACTGTTATGACATTGGTGTCCCTGCAGTTTTTAACTGGCATTACCAGACCCATGTTAGTCTATGGGCAGCTGTACATAAACGGACAGATGTCCGTTTAAATCCAGTTACCTCCGATCCGGCACAATCAGGTCTGGCAAATCACATCTCTGATTCTTCTTCATTCCAGACCTAGCCGGAGATAACCGGATGTAAACAGATGCATGCCCATAGACTAACATCACGCTTCCTATCAGGTCTGCCTGTAATACTGACATGAGGACCTGATCGGGAAGCCCGTGTGAAAGGGACCTTACTGAGCAAACTGAGAAAAGCTGATTGGTTACTATGGGCAACTCCAGTTTTGATATATTCCCCCCATCTGTTTCTGCACATGTGACAGTGTGTTGGGGTGCCATTGGTAATAACAAATAGTACTGCAGCACACCAACACATGTCAACGTAACGCAGGTGGTGCGAGCAAGCCCATAAGGGCTCATTCAAACCACACAGCGGGCATTATTGTGCGCACAAATACAAGAAGTCCAGTGCACTCCAATTCAAGATGTGACCGGCACACCAAAAACAGGAGACTTTATTCTCACCGATATTTGTAAAACATGTGCAAAAACACAGCAAACATGCTTTTTTAAGTGTTTCCTATTGAGTCTATGGGGCCAAAATGAGAATTTAATATGCCAAAAAAAACTCATGTACTTTATCCAGTGACAGGCGTTTTGCTTATTGCAGCAAAACGCTCAGATGTGAACAGAGGCCATAAGAATGAATGGGATATTTTGGAGCAAAAAAAAGCGCTACAAAACACTCAGTGTGAACCAGGTCTAAGGCCTGATTCACACTGAGCGTATTGTCGGAGCTTATTCAGCGCAACGAAAAGCTTCCACCAAAAAATCCCATTCATTCTTATGGCCCCTATTCACACCTGGGCGTTTTGTTGCAATAAGCAAAACGCCTGTCGCTGGAAAAAGTACAGGAGCTTCTTTTTGGCAGATTACAGCTCGTTTTGTACTCATAGGGAGTCAATAGGAAAAGCTTGCTGCAATTGGTTTTGGGCGTTTTTTTGCCATTTAGAGCCAGTCACACCAGGGCGGTTGCGGATCAGCGCAGTTACCACACTGATCTCGCTAGGGAGGTTTTGGGAGTTTTTAATTGCATTAAATAGTTCCATTGAAACCTGTATGCAAACCGCACTGATCAGCACGGCAAAAATAGTGCAGGGAGGAGCGTGGGTGGGGTGCGATTCGGATCGCACGGACGCATGAACGGTCTCCATAGCAATGTATGGGATCGTTCATGTCAGCAGATCTGTGCGGCCAAACTGCCCCGGTAGGAACGGGGTCTTCTATCAATGTGTCACAATCTGCTCATAAAAACGTGCAACTTAATAAACGTGCATTTTTAATGCACGTATAAACACGCAAACACGTGCAGCCGTAAACAAAATTGTGTTTCTAAGCGCAGAAATGCTGTGGCTTAGATGTGAATCAGGCCTTAGACATGATCACCTTGTTCTTGAAGTGGAGTCATAGGACATGTTTTTGCGGGTGGTGTGAATGAGCCCTAAGGTGCCCTAGGCCAGGAGGTCTGAATTCCACATGTCCAAACCCCCCATACATCATACACTACATAGACAGGATGACTTTAGCCTTCCTCACATGCTATGTAAAACACATTTCATCACACTGCAGAGTATAATATAAATGCAGCAACAAGAATGTTATGCTCTGTGGTCCCACAACCCATCACCCATATACTGACATCTATACCCTGTACATCCCGCTGCGGCCTACACAGCCTCCCCCTCCCCCCGCTGTTTCCTATGCGCTCCGGCTGCTCTCACTTACCTCGCTAGTACTGGCCGAGGAGGCAGCACTGGGGGTCGGGGATCGCTGTAGGGTGACCAGGGCCATGGTTGCTGGCTGTCCTGTCCCGGGTGACGAGTGTCAGGATCGGCAGGACTCTGGGTACGGAGGATGCCGGTATAGATGCTGTCAGATCCAGGTGCAGGGATTTCCGCTGTCCATTGTCTGTCAGTGTATGGACCCCAGTCTACAGCGCTGCCGCGCCATGGCTGAGCCGATCTGTAGAAACACGGCCCCGCACACTCTTATTGGATGAACCGGGACTCTCGGTACTTCCCAGTCCTGTGCTTCGTCTGACCCCCCCAATGATGATCCTCGATCCCGGCTGATCCCGAGCTCCTCCTACCGGTAAGATGGCTGGAGAAGCGGACGGGCGATCCAAGTGTCGGTCATGTGTGGCTGACAGCCTCTGATCGTGTCATTCGTGCTGCCAGTATATCGGTGTGCGGGTGATGCCAACATCCTTGGTACCCATCCTATGTGGGAGCACAGCACAGGGCCTCCCCTGCCAATAGAGCTGGAAGTGTACACACTACACAGGAGTCGATAAGGGTCCTTTAAACTGATATGAAAGCCAAAAGCCTTTTTACATGCTGATTATATCACTTACAAAGGATGCTGCTCCTTCATGTATATATGTTTTAGTTTCTTGCAGAATCAGCTGGTTGCCTGATATCCTGTGATAGGGTGGCTCCTTTCCCTTGCAGGGTCCCATGGAGCCACCCTTGTGTGTGTGTCTCCACAAACATGGCAAGCTAAGCCACTCACTTCCTCCCTCCCTTCCCCAAACTAATAGATGGAGAGTTGCTGGAGGCTGCTCTTTCCCTTGTGATCTTGTAATGGACAGGAAGTTCACGGAAGCTGAGCTGAGAGAGTTGGAGCTGTTCAGAACATGACTGTAAGTGCTTGGGCAAAGATCTAAAGTAATGCTTTGCTGGCAATGTAGATTAATTTGATCAGCACGTTTCCATTGAAGTCTATAGAGCAAAACAAGCTGGTAAGCGTCACAAAGGACGCTCATGGGCTTTTTAACCACTTGCTGACAAGGTGTTAAACCCCCTTCCGGCCCAGGCCATTTCTCAGTATTCAGCGCTGCGGTACTTTGGCTAACATTTATTCCGTCATGCAACTCCGTACTGAAATTAATTTTATACTATTTTTGGGGACAGATAGAGCTTTCTTTTGGTGGTATTTAATCACTACTGGGGGGTTTTATTTTTTACTATATAACAAAAAAAGGACCCTAAATTTTGAAAAAACACCTATTTCCCTATGAAATGTTATGAAACATTTATTATCAAACCAATTTTTTGATAAAATATAAAACAAGGGGTCACGTCGGGTAAATAGACACCAAACATGTGAAGCCTTAAAATTGCACTCCTGTGAAATCGCAGAAAACTACCACACCCAAAATTGTCCGTAGGCATCGCTTTAACCCTTTCGCTGCCAAGCCCTCCGGAACATTTTTCAAATCAGCTGGCCAAGCCATTTTTGAATTTTCTGCAATTTTTTCCTATTGGTTTGATTTTCAACTGCTGCGTTGCTAGCGTTTGTAAAAGTAAATTCAATTTTTTTTTTCAATTGATAAAACACACTAAAATCACTATCAGCGCACA